TCCAGAAATTAGGTAAACTGAGAATGGAGCAGATGACATTTAAGGATCAAAAAATGCTCCATTCTCAGGGGTGCCTGGGTGGCTCAGTTGGCTAAGAATGTGACTCTTGATTTCAGCTCAGGTCATGATCTCAACATAGTGAAATGGAGCTGAGGTCGAGGCCCCCTCCCGCTGCCCATGTTGGACTCCATGCTGGGCGTGGAGCCTGCTTTAAGGTTCTCCATCTTCCTCTCCCCCTTCTCCACTTGTGTGCACACAAACACTCTCCCTCTCTCAAAAAAAATGCTCTCTTCTCTGCTTGTTGTCTCTTTCCTTCAGTCATTATCTTCCAGATATGTTTCCAGATCTGTTCAATCTCTTAATTTAGTGATGGAGTTGGAAATGTATTCCTTAACCAGGAATTTTATTTCACTAATGTCTGAAAACTAGTGGATGATTAACAAAAAGCTGAAAATAGCAAGAAATTTTATGAATAAACCCTGATGGTCTAGAACACAGATACAATCAGATAAGCTTTGTGGGAAAGGGAGGTGCATTTTAGAGGAATTCAGACTGGTGATGTTTAGGTTTATCACTTCTGAAATTCAGAAGAAATCTTAACGGCAGGATCAGATTTTAGTTTTAAATGATAATGGATTCCCGTATGCTATTTTTCATGAGAGAGATTCAGGGATAGTAGGAGAATTTGTGGTTGTTAAGACTTAGTCTAATTTACTAGAGCTAACTTAGATAAATATTATGCAAGCAGGTAGAGTGAAATGAAACTGTTGTGTCACTGCCTTTTCTTGGCTCTCTTAAAACTTCGTAGCCCTAAAATATTCACCATACTTGATTATTACTAACAGGATTAGAGATATTAATTGACTTCCTGTTAGTGGGATTATTTTGTGGCCATACTAATTAAAATGTTTCCAGAGAAGAGAGAGTTCAAGCTTACTTAACTTTGTTGGTAAGTATTTTATTTTATTTTATTATTTTTTTTTTTTAAATTTTTTTTTTCCAACGTTTTTTTTATTTATTTATGGGACAGACAGAGACAGAGCATGAACGGGGGAGGGGCAGAGAGAGAGGGAGACACAGAATCGGAAACAGGCTCCAGGCTCCGAGCCATCAGCCCAGAGCCTGATGCGGGGCTCGAACTCGCGGACCGCGAGATCGTGACCTGGCTGAAGTCGGACGCTTAACCGACTGCGCCACCCAGGCGCCCCTGTTGGTAAGTATTTTAATTGTGAATAATATTGCTCCTTTTTTTGTTTTATTTGAGTAGAATATAGTGTAGTTCAAGAAGGAGGAAAATTACTTGATTGTAAAAGTCTTTCCTTATAAATTTAGTTTTTTCCATAACAACCCTGTATTTTGTTGTGAATAAATGTATTTAATACAAATTAAAAACTGAATGGATATGTTTTCTTAAATGTTTTGTAAAACTGTTAGTGGAAAAATTATTTGCAATAGTTGTTTCCAAATCAATTGCTTTTTGTAGTTTCTGAATAATTCATTTGATAAACCACCTACTTTTCTGTACTATAGTTCTTTGTGGATCTTACCAATAACTATAAAATATTAATAAATAGAAGGGCATGAAGGGCATGGGCAACATTTTAATTCTTTACTTTTGAAGGTTATGTCTTTGGAAAATAAAGGGTATCTGGGGAATGTATAGTGGGACTTAGTGTAGATGCTGTAGAAAAACAAAATTTTTATTTCTGAGCCATAGCTTTCAGTACCCAAACAATGGGCTGTAGACAATGGATAAAAGGTACCCTAAGGAAGAAGTTTCTTCAGTACTAGAGATTTTACACTGATCAAGAAAGCTTTCAACTCAGGGCGCCTGAGTGGCTCAGTGGTTGAGCATCTGACTCCTGATTTTGGTGCAGGTCATGATACTAGGGTCACGGGGTCAAGCCCTGCATTGGGCTCCACACTGAGCATGGAGCCTGGTTAGGATTCTCTCTCTCCCCTGCTCTGCCCATCTGTACCACTCATGTACTCTAGCTCAAAAATGAAAAATAAGTTACAAAATTAAAATAAAAAATGAAAGCTTTCAACTCAAATGTGAAAAGAGAAGCTCCATTATAAAACCACATACTAGAGAAGACAGAGGGCTAGTGAAAGAAGTATCTAGGACCTGTACTTTAAAAACTATAAAACATTGATGAATGAAATTGGAGATGACACAAATAAATGGAAAGATATCCCATGCTTATAGATTGGAAGAAGAAATACTGTTAAAATGTCCAAACTACACAAAGCAACTACAGATTTAATGCAATCCCTATCAAAATACCAACAACATTTATCACATAACTAGAAAAAACAATCCTAAAATTTGTATGGAGCCATAAAAGACCCCAAATAGCGAGAGCAATCTTGAAAACAATAAAGCTCGAGGTATCACAATTCCAGGCTTCAAGTTATACTACAAAGCTGTAGTAATCAAAACCGTATGCACTGGCACAAAAATAGACACATTGATCAATGGAACAGGATAGGAAGCCCAGAAACAAACCTATGATTATATGGTCAATTAATCTTCAACAAAGGAGGCAATGGAAAAAAAGACAGTCTCTTCAACAAAGGGTGTTGGGAAAACTGGAACTCTTCCTTGCATTATACATAATAATAAACTCGAAATGGATTAAGGACCTAAGTATGAGACCTGAAACTGTAAAAATCCTAGAAGAGAGCACAGGTGGTAAAGTCTGTAACATAGGCCATAGCAACATTTTTCTAGATGTCTTCTTTATCCATACGTCTATGGACATTAGGTTGCTTCCATATCTTGGCTGTTATAAATTATGCTATAGTAAACATAGGGGTGCATATATCTTTTTGAATTAGTGCTTTTGTTTTCTTTGTGTAAATACCCAGGAGTGGAATTACTGGATCATATGGTGTTTCTGTTTTTAATTTTTTGAGAACCTCCACAGTGGTTGCACTAATTTATACTCTCATCAGTAGTGCATAAGGGTTCCTTCTCCACATCCTTGCCAACACTTGTTATTTCTTGTCCATTTGATTCTAGCTATTCTGACAGTTGTGAGGTAATATTGTGGTTTTGATTGCATTTCCCTGATGATTAGTGATGAGCATTTTTTTTTCTGTTTCTGTTGGCCATCTGTATGTCTTTGTAAAAATGTCTATTCAGGTTCTCTGTCCATTTTTTTAAAAAGTGTTTCTTTATTTTGAAAGAGAATGAGCATTAACAGGGTAGGGGTGGAGAGGGAGAGAGAGAATCCCCAACAGGATCTGTGCTGTCCATGAAGAGCTTGATATGGGGCTCAGTCTCACAAACTGGGAGATCATGACCTGAGCTGAAATCGAGTCAGACGCTTAACTGACTGAGCCACCCAGGTGCCCATTTTTAATGAGGTAATTTGATTTTTGGTATTGGCACGGTTAAATTTTGATAGTTTTTAAAATTATATTCTAGCTACTAATCCTTTGTCAAATACATGATATTAAAATATTTTTCCCCACTCTGTAGCTTGTCTTTTCATCCTCTTACCATGGTTTTTCCTAGAGAAAAAGTTTTAATTTTGATGAGGTTTATCTTTTTTTTTTCTTTTTTATGGATCGTGCTTTTTGGTTTTAGGTCTAAGAACTCTTTAACTACCCCATGATCCTAAATGTTCTCTCCTATTTTTTTTTCCTAAAAAAGTCTTTTTTCATTAAGTTCTATGCCCAACATTGGGCTTAAGCTCACAACTGCGAGATCAAGAGTCAGATGCTCTACTGACTGAGCCAGCCAGGCGCCCCTTTTTTATTTTTTCCTAAAATTTTTAATTTTTTAAATGTTTATTTTTTGACAGAGAGAGAGAGAGAGCAGGAGCAGGGGAGGGGCAGAGAGAGAATGGGAGACACAAAATCTGAAGCAGGCTCCAGGCTCCAATCTGTCAGCACGGAGCCCAACGCGGGGCTTGAACTCATGAACTGCGAGATCATGACCAGAGTCAAAGTTGGACACTTAACTGACTGAGCCACCCAGGCACCCCTTCCTAAGATTTTTTATAGTTTTAATTTTTATATTTAAGCATGTGATCCAATTTAAGTTTTTTGTATAAAGTGTGAAGTTTAGTTCGAGGTTTGTGGTTTTTACTATGGATGTCCAGTTGCTCCAGCACTGTTTGCTGAAAAGGCTCTCCTTCCTTTACTGAGTTGTTTTTGCACCTTTGTGAAAAATCAGTTGGCTATACTTATTATAGGTCTATTTTTGGGTTCTTGTCTCTATGCCATTGATCTATGTATCTATTCTTTTTTATCAGTACCACCCTGCGTTGCTTACTGTAGCTATATAGTAAGCCTTAAAATCAGGTAGAGTGATTCTTCCAATTTTGTTCTTTGTTTTTGAGATTGTTTTAACTACTCCAGTTTCTTTATAGGTGTGTTTTGTTTTGTTTTGGTTTTGAGAAGCAACATCTTATACAAAAAGTAGCTGGTTGGTTTAACTCAACATTCTTTGGAATCTTTGGTAAATGAAAGGTTTTATGATTTTATATTTTATTTATTAGTAAATAATAAGTAATTCACATCAACAGTATAGTATCTTATTAAATCTCATTATGAAATAATAGAATTTTAAGAATAATTATCATAATCAGCTCCAATTAGTAGATTCTATTTTTCTGTCTTTCACATTTTCTTTTTTTTTATTTTTTTATTTTTTAATTTTTTTTTTCAACGTTTATTTATTTTTGGGACAGAGAGAGACAGAGCATGAACAGGGGAGGGGCAGAGAGAGAGGGAGACACAGAATCGGAAACAGGCTCCAGGCTCTGAGCCATCAGCCCAGAGCCTGATGCGGGGCTCGAACTCACGGACCGCGAGATCGTGACCTGGCTGAAGTCGGACGCTTAACCGACTGCGCCACCCAGGCGCCCCTGTCTTTCACATTTTCTACGTACCTCTGCTTGTTAGTCTTGGTTTTAAGTTGCTTAGTTCAAAGGAACTTCAGATGACAAGTTGAGAGCATTAACACTATGCTCCTCCCTTTTTTTTAGATGGTGTTATCAGAAAAGGTTAGTCAACTGATGGAGTGGACCAATAAAAGACCCGTAATAAGAATGAATGGAGACAAGTTTCGTCGCCTTGTTAAAGCCCCACCAAGAAACTACTCCGTTATTGTCATGTTCACTGCTCTCCAACTTCACAGACAGTGTGTTGTGTGCAAGTATGAACTTTCAACTATACTTTAAAATTAAATAACATAAGATTTTAACCATTTCTCAATCCCAGAAGAACCTAATTGGTTCAGTGGGTACATAAACAATTAATGTCTGTATCTTACTTAGGATGTCTGTAGTAACACATAATACTACTGCCCTTTTACAGTATTTCTTAGTTTCCCACATTAGTGGGGGAACAAAAAACAAGGTTAAAGTATTCTGGTAGCCATGATAGGAATAACGTAAAAGTTGAATAATCGTCTTTTAAATTGGTGTCACTTATACAAATGTATGCTAGTAGCATTGATGTAGTATTTTATCATTTGTAAGTGCTTTCAATTTCATACTCTTATTTTATACAACAACCCCAGAAGGTAAGTAAAGCAAGTATTCTCTCATTTATGAAGAAACAAGTTCCAACATTTTTAACTGGTTTACCCAAAAGTAGAGATAATTATTAATGCAATAATGGTAGCTATATCCAAATTTGGAATTACAAGAGAACATTTTTAGAAAATAAAGATGTATGATTTAGAGATGTTTTCTTTTTTCTAGATTATTTTGTTGTGATTATAAACCGTGGAAATGGTGACTAATCTCAGTTAAACTTTCATCAAACAATGGTGTATTGATTTTATTTTCCTGTTTCTGAATGATCTTAGGAACAAAGATTGATATTTCTTTAAACAAAAGGACTTTATAAACAAAAGGACTATATTTCTTTAAACAAAAGTACAAATAGTGGGTACTGAAAAATAGAACAGCTTTAGCTTTTTGGTGTTTTTTTTTTTTAACTTATATTTGAGATCAGTGTGTGTGGTCTGGGAATTCACTTTAAATGAAATGACAAAGCTACCCTGTGAAGAACTAATTTAATAAAATCTTGAAGGCTTTCCAAATTCTGACAAACTGGGCCTATGTGAAGGAATAGACAATTTTTTTTTTTTTAGAATATACATTATGCTACCCCAAGACTTCTTTCTTCTCTTAAAGGTTTTTCTCCCTAGAGTTAAGAGATAGTCAAGGTAATTGGTCCCATAGTACTTATATTTGAAGAGATGTTATGAATAAACATAAAATCTAAAATCACTCCTTTTTTTAAATTTTCTTTTCTTTTACTTTTAAATTTACATCCAAATTAGTTAGCATATAGTGCAGCAATGTTTCAGGAGTAGATTCCTTAGTGCCCCTTACGCATTTAGCCCATCCCCCCTCCCACAACCCCTCCAGTAACCCTCTGTTTGTTCTCCATATTTATTAGTCTCTTATGCTTTGTCCTCCCTGTTTTTACATTATTTTTGTTTCCCTTCCCTTATGTT